AAGCAAGGTCATTATAAGGAGCGATTAAGATGAGATTGGAGGGTACCGGTCAAGATGGCAGAGTAGGTAAATGCTGTGCTTACTTTCTCTCATGACCACATCAAAATACAACTCATCTACAAAACAACCATCATTGAGAATTGCCTGAAACCTTGCTGAACCGAAGCCCTACAACTAAGGATATGTAGAAGAAGCCACCTCAAGACTTGTAGGAGGGGTGGAGACACAGAACAGGCTGGTCCAACACACGTGTGACTATTAAAAATCGGGAAGGTTATCTTGACTGTGCAGGTTCCCCCTCCCCTACCAAAGGAGTAAGCTAGGGAACCAGGCTCCCCAGCCCAGGGTTCCAGTGACAAAAAGAGAAATCCCCATAATTTATGGTTGTGAAAAACAGTGGAGATTTGTGGCTGAGTGAGATGGAGGGTGGCTGGGGTCCCAGCGTACTCCCCTTTTTTTTTTTAGGATTTAAAATTTTTTTTTATTGGGGAATTGGGGGGATGGGAACAGTGCTGGGGAATGGGGGAAGGGGAACAGACAAGTTGCTGTCGTTTTTTTTGTTCTTCAGTCTAGTTGTGGAGGACGTTGCTTCACTGGCCCAAGTTGGCACCATCATTGCGCTCTTCCTGGGCGAGGCAGATCAGTCACCGGCTTCTGGACGGCCGCTCACTGCGGCTGCTGGCCGCTCACGCTGGCTGCTGGCTACATACGGTAGCCCATGGCAACCCACTGCCACAGGGGCTGCAGCCTACACCGTCGCCGGCGACTCACGGCAACCCAGCTCCAGGTTGAGCTGTTGTTCAGCATCTTAGCTGTGGAGGGCAGTGTCACTGGCCCTCATATGTGGGATCCGAACCGGGGCCCTCTGGCATCCGAAGTCAGTTCTTAACCATCGCGCCACTCGGCCGGCCCCCAGCGTACTCCTCTTAAAGGGCCCATATGTTGAATTACTCACTGAGAGATCACTGGCTCTGAGTTCCAGCATTGGGGAAGCAGCTGGAGAGGCAGCTTTCTTCTGGACAGAGGAGTTGGTGGAAATCATTATTTCTTTTCTGAGCACCCCCCAGGTGACTGCAATATCTGAGTCTCCATCAAGTTGGCTGAAAACATTCGACACACCCTGGTGATTCTGAGACCCCACTCCATCCAACTTTCGGGCACACCTAAGTTGCTGCCAATGACTTTTTTGTACAAACCACCTGCCCTGGCTCATGCTGCAAACTTTCCTAGGATTTCACAAAGATTCACCGAACCCAGACAAGCAGCATCTGGCTTGAGTGTGTCCCAAATCTCTGGCTGAGCAGCCATAAGCCCAGCACTAGAGCCAGTCAGCCTTGGTTTGCAGTGTGGCTTCTCGAGGCACTCCAAGCACAGCAAGGGCGGCGGCCATTTTTGGATTGCTTTGTGGCTCCTGCTGCATGGCCCCACGTGGGACATGAGCTGTGGCTGAACTTGACCTAGAGCGGGTCCCCTCCCAGGTGGTCCTGGGGCTGGCGCGCCCAGTGCCCAGCTATGAAACGAGCTGGACCATCACCCAGCCGCCTCCAAGAACAACACACCCAAGGGGCTGATTGGGCAGGCACCAGAGTCCTGCTGAGGTAGATCCTGCTCTGTAGGGTCAGTCCCTGTACCAAAACTCCTCCACTGTAGTCACAGCCAATCCTCACAATTAATGAGCCCAAGGGTCAATCCCTCCCACTGATGTGCAAACAGCAAGGCTCAAATACAGCAGGAAGGCACAAACCACACAAGGGACACACCCAGAATGCATGGCTCAGGTGACCAGGAAGACTGCACCACTGAGCCCCACAGCATGCCTACTACATAAGGCCACTCTACTAAACTAGGGAGACATAGCAGCCCTGCCTAATACATAGAAACAAACATAGGGAGGCAGCCAAAATAGGGTGACTAAGAAACATGCCCCAAGTAAAAGAACAGAACAAAGCTCCAGAAAAAGAACTAAACAAAACGAAGACAAGCAATCTACCAGATGCAGAGTTCCAAACACTGGTTATAAGGATGCTCAATGATCTCAGGGAGAACTTCAACAGAGACAGGAAACATAAAAATGTAGATAGATTACATAATTAAGAACCAGTCAGAAATAAAGAATACATTAACAGAAATGAACAATACATTAGAGGGAATTAACAGATTAGATGAAGCAGAGGATCGAATCTGCAATTCAGAAGATAAAGTGGCAGAAAACACCCAATTAGAACAGCAAAAAGAAAAAAGAATCCAAAAAAATGAGGGAAGTTTAAGGGGCTTCTGGGATAACATGAATCATACCAACATTCATATTATAGGGGTACCAGAAGGAGAAGAGAGCAAGGAATTGAAAGCCTATTTGAAGAAATGACAGAAAACTTCCCTAACCTGATGAAGGAAATAGATATACAGTCCAGGAAGCACAGAGTCTGAAACAAAATGAACCCAAAAAGGCCAACACCAAGACACATCATAATTAAAATGCCAAAGGTTAAAGACAAGAGAGAATCTTAAAAGCAAGAGAAAAGCAGTTACCTACAAGGGTACTCCCATAAGACTATCAGTTTATTTCTCAACAGAAACTTTGTAGGCCAGAAGGTATTGGGAGGAGATATCAAAGTGAGGAAAAGCAAGGACATACAACCAAGCTTACTCTACCCAGCAAAGCTATCATTTATAATCAAAGAAGAGGTAAAGAGCTTCCCAGAAAAGAAAAGGCTGAAGGAGTTCATCACCACCAACCAGTATTACAAGGAATCTTAAAGGGACTTAAGACTGACTAAAAAATAAAAATAAAAAATATGAATAAAATGATAGTAACTTCATATCTCTACACATCTATCAACGATTACGTTCAATGTAAATAGATTAAATGCTCCAATCAAAAGATGGGGGTGGTGGTGAATGGATAAGAAAACAAGACCTTACATATGCTGCCTATGAGAGACTCACTTCAGATCAAAAGACACAGACTTACAGGGATGGAAAAAGATATTTCATGAAAATGGAAATGAACAAACAGAAAAAAGCTCAAGTAGCAATACTTACACTGACAAAACAAACTTTAAAACAAATGCTAGAACAAGAGACAAAGAAGAACCCAGTAATCCCACTTCTGGGTTATTTATCTGAAGAAACTCAAATGTTACTTTGAGGGGATGTTCATACGTTCATTGCAGCATTGTTTACAATGGCCAAGATGTGGAGGCAGCCTGGGTGTTCCTGAATGGATAAAGATGGGGTGGTACATATATACAATGGAATATTACTCAGCTTTAAAAAAGGATGACATCTTGCTATCTGGCACAACATGAATGGATCTAGAGGGTATTTTGCTGAATGTAGTAAGTCAGACAACAAAAGACAAATGTCATATGATTTCACTTATAAGTGAAACCTAAAGAACAAAATAAACAAATGAAACAGAAACTCATACAGAGAACATTTTGAAGGTTGCCAGATGGGAGAGGGGTTGGGGTGTGTGAAAAAGGGGAAGGCATTAAGTACAAATTGGTTGTTGCACAGTAATCATGGGGATGTAGGGTATAGCATAAGGAATATTGTCAATAATATTGTAATAACTATATATGGTGTCAGATGGGTACTAGATTGGGATGATGGAAGGGGTACTGAGGCAGGGCGAAAAAGGTGAAGGGATTAAGAAATACAAATTGGTAGTTATAAAATAGTCATGGAGATGTAAAACAATATAACTAAAGGGAATATAGTCAATAATATGGTAATAACTATGTATAATGCCAGGTGGGTATGAGTCAAGTTCACTTCTTAAATTATGTCTAACCACTATGCTGTACACCTGAAATTAACATAAAATATTGAATGTCAACTGTGATTGAAAAATTAAAAAGAGGGGAGAAGTTAAAGGGGAATAAGAGGTTCAAAGTTCCATGTATAAAATAAATAAGTCTTGGGGATGTATTATATAGCATAGGCAATATAGTCAATAGTACTGTGATAGCATGGCATGGTGTCAGATGGTTGCTGGACTTACCATGGTGATCACTTGGTCTAGCACAGGGAATATAATCAATGATATGGCAATAACTATGTATAGTGCCAGGTGGTTACTGTTGAATAACTATGATGTACACCTGAAACTAATATTGTATGTTAGCTATATTTTAATAAAAATCTTTAAAAAAAAAATAAAGGTGAGACTGGGAAGCACACAGATCATGGCAATGCAAGGAGTCAAAACTAGTAGTAACACACAGGTACAGCAGATTCTCAAATAACATCATTTCCTTCAACGTCATTGCATTGTAATGTTATGAGAAAAAAAAAATTGAATCCTGGCAGGGCCACTGTCTGTGTGGAGCTTGCACGTTCTCTCCATGCCCATGTGGATTTTCCTCTGGGTGCTCTGGCTTCCTCCCACATCCAAAAGATGTACAGGAGGTAAACTGGTGTCTCTAAATTGTCCCAGTAATGTGGATGTGATGCACCCCATGATGGAAGGGCATCCTGTCCCACTGTGCTCCCTGAGCTGCCTGAAGACTCCAGCCATCCACAACCCTGAACTGCAAATCAGTGGGTTGAAAAAGAATAATGTTGTTTTACAACTCACATTTATTTCAGTGTTTAATATTACAAATGTTTTGGGTCTTTATTTAGAAGTTTGGTGATGTTTTTGTGATCAAAAGTAGAAGGTAGAAACTTATATCAATTAGCCTATGATAAAATTGGTTTATGTCGTTTACCTGAAAGTCAGTTTCCAAGAATCTATCAACTATGTTAAGACTTGCTATATTTACATGTACACTGAATTATTCCTTGTACTTTACACATTATCTTATAAATATCCTTCCTATCTACTGATTTTATAAAGATAATTCAAAGAAAACCACACTCTTCAGAGGTGGGAACAGTCAAAAGGAAATGAGATACCCAAATACAGAAAGTGGTCACTGTAATTGAGCTGTACCAAATCCATAGCTGGATCAAATTTTTGTAAATTAAAAAATAAAAGCCAAGCCACTGGAGAATGATGCTTAATTATATCCAATTGTTTATTTAAAATAATTGTCCAACTCTTCCCATGATTTAACAGGTTTTGCTTCACTTTTACACCCTCAGACAGCTAGAAACCAACACTTACATTTTTTTTGCATTTTAGTTTAACCACTATATATGCCATTTTAGTATTTTCCTTTATTAATACTAGAACCAAATACATCAATAAGTAGTAAAGATTTAAATTATTTTCTTAGTAGTTATGGTGCCATTGATAAATTTCTTGGGATTTATCAGATGCTAGATGCTGTTTCAAGCCATCTCGAACCAACTGTCTGACTTAGGAAAATCATGCTACCTCCCCAGGTCTACTTTCTCTTGCAAAATAAGATAGGATTAGATTACTTCTATTGTTTTATCTGATTGTAAAATCCAATGAACATATTCCTCATCATTTTCAATAATTTTATTTCATTTTTATTTGCTACTTCTCCACTTATAAAGCACAATTGCCTATTCTCAAGTAAACACGAGTGCATTAAAAAATAAACACAAACCCAATAAATTTTTAATCATCCTAATATATTCCCATTAATAGATAAAAGGGCTTTCACTTGAATTTTTATTTTTCATTTCTACTTCTTTATTTAAAGTCAATAATAGTTACAATTGTAAAATGAATGCATTTAAAAACAAAAAGATACATTTCAATGACAAAAAATGTAATGATCATGAAAATCTGCTGTACACTTTGCCAAGGTCAACAGAATGAAGGATGATATGAAAAAGTCAATCTTAAAATTTATCCTTAACAAAAACTCTCTCCTGAATAGTAAAATCATCATTTAAGAATACATGTTTACATATCTGGACCCCAGCTCCAAAAACAACAGTGTGTGTGTGTGTGTGTGTGTGTGTGTGTGTGTGTGTGTGTGAGTGTGTAGAGGGGAGAGGGCTAGATAAAAATACCTGGGCACCAGGAACTCAAGATTAAAAACGTCTAAAACTAACATTTAGTTCAAAAGAAAATGAACATTACTAACAGATGACAATTGTATGAAACTATTTTTTTTTACCTTGATAGAAATGAGATGGAGCATTTCAGTAACAGTAACAGCTTGGTAATGATCTGAGAAAAACTGTGGAGATACCCCCAACTCCTCCTATCCTTGTCCCCAGTATAAAACAAATACCTTCCATGAAATTATTTTTCACATGACTAAAATATCCTCATTTACTTGGGATAGTTCATGCTTAGAATATTTCAAACATTTGTTTTTAGATGCATGGAATTACCAGAGGTGAGATTTTTGAAACCATTTATGTATTACTAATAACTGAATCTTTGCAAAGAGATAATAATCCTTTCACTATACACTGATTGATCAAATATGCTTCAAGAAGCCCAACTATTTTAATAGTGATGCTGATGGTAATAAGTGATACTCTCAATTTTTTCCTTTTAAAAAATATTTAATCCTTGTAACACTAATTACTAAATATGTTACAATGCATACATTCTTAACAAGGAATGACTGTTTTCAGGCCCAAGTAGGATAAAAATAAACTAATAATGGCATTTACTACCCTGTGTTATCACTGATAAGCTACGACTAACATTCAAATGATGGATAGTTTAAGTATGTGACATTAAGCAAAAAATGAAAATCATTATAATTTTACCAAAAGAAACAAGAAAAACATGGGAAATGAACACAGCATAGGTCCCAAAGATTACACTATGATTCTGAAGTAGATTTTCAAACAAAAGGCATCTACATACAATGTCTGTGAATATTTCTTCTACTACAAAGATGAATTTCAAAGCAAATGTAGGCTAGCTCAGGCCTACTTTGTCAAAGATAAATACTCAGATGAACCAGTTCCATTTGCTAAAGTGCACCTGCTGACCAAATCTGTTCTGGCCGTGCTATTAAGCATGATTCAAGAAGTGGATGTCACTCATGCTTTTTCACTCACTGTGCTATCAACAATGGATTTTTTTAAACCAAATACTTTATATATTGGATTATAGAAAAAACAATCCTAAATATACTATCGTCTAAAACTCCAGAGAGTAATATAACTTCATTATTTTTAAATATCGAAAATGTAAAGGGTCCATACAAATTAAGAGTTGTATTAAGTACATAGTTTTTACTTTAATATTCACTTGATGTGCTCTTAAAATCTCTATGAGAGAAGCAGATATTTTACCCATGTCTTTTGGCAATAGATTCAAAAGCAAAAGTAGCAGTGCTGTTGAATTCCATGAAACCTGTTTTTAAAGCTAAATTATTCAATATCTGTATTGTTATTGCACTCATATATGCCCGGAATACATCTATAGTAACTCAGCAATAGTGATTGCAAAAAAAGTAAGGTAAGTGGGTCTACAAAGCATTTGATTTCCTTATGACAATAAGAAAGTTTTCATAGAGGAAATGCAAACAACTGCAGTTCAAATAAGATTATATATGCTTAACAATTATTTAACCTTATATAAAATTAAATCTAACCCTCACCACTACAAATCTGTAAGGAATCAGAAAAGGATTTACAGTACACAAAGTCTTGACTATTCATTGCATTCCACTCTTGAAGTCACTCTGAGTTAAAACAGCAATTTTTCCAAGATTTAAAGAAAAATATATTTTATAAAAGGGATTTTTTTAAATCACTGAATATTTCATTTTTATTACTAAGACAGAAACAAATTATACTTTTTTCCACTATAATTCACTCTGATGAAAGAAAGATTTCTCTCTTCTAACAAATGCTACATTTTCAAGACTAAAGGAATTATCAGTAGGCATTTTTTCTTCTTGATTTAAGTTATTTTTCTCTAAAATATGTCAAGTAAGCTTTTAAAGATTCAGGGAGGGGGAGCTTCATGATTTTTTCTCTCAGTAAATTCTGAGGTGGCTCCTCTGGCTTCATTGCTTCACTGTGATTTTTCTCTTCCTCTTCTTTGTTATCTTCTTCCATTTTTTCATCCTCCTCACTGTCTAGAGGCTGAGGAATAAGCTGATTACCCACAAATACGTAAGTGTTAATTCTCTGTTTAACTCTCTTTCTTTTCCTTTTGGGTGGAGCCCTTTGAGGAATCCCCTTGGCCTGCATCTCATCATTTATGAAATTTCTAAGTGTGCGTCGAATGTAAATACGAGCCAAGTCCTGTAGATTCCTGACAGCACAGGGGGCTATAAAAAACACACACACACACACATACAAAACATAAGTAAAACATTATATATTGTTCATTTCTTCATGGAACAAAACATGTATTTCTTAGCGAATGTTAGAAAACACAGGAAGTATAAAAACTTTGACTTGCAACTAACAAAAGATTTCAGGGTGTTCACCAAACACCAAGTACCGTTTTAAGTACAGACAAGAGTGGACAGTGCAGAGGTTTATATGTATAGATATCTGTGTGTCCCCATGTATATTCATAAAAATTCTTTGGAAAGAAAAATAAGACCTTACAAACAGAGTACATGAGAATTAAATATGGGACAAGAATAGTAGAGATTCTTACCCTACTTTTTTTTATGCATTTTGATGTTGAAAGAGTCTATTAAAAAAACTCAAAGGCAACACTTGAACAGCTGCCCAAGTCTAAGCTATAAAGCTATTATACACACAAGCTCATGTACACACACACACACACACACACACACACACACACACACACTTTCTATCTTTCTGTAAATCAACAAGTAGAACTGGTTAATATGCTAAGGGTCCCCAGAAATCATGCTGTAAAGAAACACTTAATAGCCCAAAGAAATGCCGGATTTCTTTGTTATTGACGTTTACTTCTATCAAATACATCACAGCGTTGGAACATATCCTTTCTGCTTCATTCCCGTCTCCCACGAATGTATAAATGCATAAGCCCTAAAACCATATATTCTTCTTTATAGGCTATTCCAATACTTTATACATACAGAAATAAATTCTCTAGTCACCACCTCAAATTCATTTTTCCTAGTTTCCATCCCTGTGGAAATAAAACTATAATCAAGGATCCTTCTGAAATACCTAAACAAAACAAAACACAACCTTCCTTAAACAGCATTAAAATATCATTTGTTTTATTTCTTTACTTTGGTACTTTTTATTTCTTTATTTTACTTTGGTACCTCGCCTCTAAACTTTTTAGATGTTTGTTGTAACATCTGAAATCCTGCCTTGTTCATTTACTTGTATGTGGTCTGTCTTTGACATCAGACTGTGAGCTCTAGGAGGAGAGGGGTTGTGCATCTCCTCTTCGTACTCCCCACAGGGCCCTGTAGGAGAGCACACTAAGAGGGGATACAAACAAAGAAGAAAGGCCTAAGCTCCAGGGAGCTCTGCAAAAGGGCAGGCTGGAAAATAAATGTGGAAGAGTTTTGGAAACTATATAGAAATAGAAGCTATAATTAGTCTTTTCAGATGGTCTTTGCTCTTAAACCTCTCTCAAATTATTGGTATTTTCTTTTAACACTTTAATTATGTCCCTCCTCTGATAACACTGCCTGCCACGCCAGGGACAGTTAGAATGATGAACTTTCCAATCCTAAACTGTCAGAATACCTGAACTTCATAAAGAACCAACTAGAACCAGAGTGGAAAAGGATTCACACTTGACTTTAGTAGCTTCTAACACTCAGAAGTATTAAAATAGCATCCATATGAACTTTGTTTCAAAGTTCTCCTGAATGATACAAAAACTTTTAGGTAATTCTCAGCCCTACCTATTCAAAAATCCCCAATATATTTTATTCTTTGACAGTACCTTGTTTCTAATGCTTCCAGTTATGAGATAAGGATTTAATCAACCAGGCAATATTAATCCTGACTGCTATAAAATCTCATTTTGAATCGAAGCTTTCACTCTGTAATTACAATTAGGATTACCTCTAACACACACATAAACTCTATTTGTTTCCCAAAAGGTAGTCTCTACATAGATTTTATAAGAATCTAGCAGTCAGCACTTTCATTTTTGTTTGTTAAAGATTGGAAAAGGTATTTTATTTAGGTCAAACCTCTAAAACCAACTATTTTTGGCCATTTTTAGCTTACAAAAACAGCAACTTCATATAGTGCAATGTGGCATAGTGCCAAAATTTATGGTTTCTTTCGTCCCTTGTTATACTGTGATTTATAGGAAGAAATATACGTTTTGCTTCCCATTCCTGACAGAGCTCCTAAAATATTGAAATTTCCTAAATGATAAGATCATAAAGATGAAAAGGAGTATCTTATGTTGTTAGTAAGAAGTTCCTTTCAACCACCTCTGAGTTGACATTAATAAGGTGACTTTTGGTAAACCCCTAAGGATGCTAGGCTGGTTGCCAGGGGGAATGGTGTAGTGTCAGATGCTTGCTGGACTTATCATGGTGGTCACTACTTTGGGTATAAAAATGTTGAATAACTATGGTGTACACTTGAAACTAATATTGTATGTAAGCTATATTTTAATAAAAATCTGTAAGTCTCCATAAATAACTTGATCAAAAGGGCTCAGAGAGCTTTTGGGCTGATGAGCAAACACGTGCAGTTTCTGGGAGGATGGCGCCCCTTGCCTTCAGCATCAACTCCATCTGGCTGTTCCTGAATTGGATCTTTTTATAATAAACCAGTAGTCCAGTAAGTAAACTGTTTTCCTGGATTATGTGAGTTACTCTAAAAAATTATAGAACTCCAGGAGAGGGTCATGGGAACCTCTAATTTACAGCCAGGCTGTCAGAAACACAGGTGACAGCCAGGACTTGCAATTGGCATCTGAAGCTGGAGAAGGGGGAAGGCTTGTGGGACACAGCCCTTAACCTGTGGGGTCTGTGCTAACACAGGTTAGTGAGTTAGATAATAGAGTACCTTGCTCGTGTCCACGAACAATTGGAGATTTGCTCAGTGTGGAAAAATCCATACACACCTGGAGTACAGAAATACTGGTGGGTTTTCCTCTAGTTGGTGTAGCATTTTTTCCTTTACCCCTTCCTGCCCTGAACTTTGAGCAGTATGCTCTTATTTTTAGAATGTCCCATACCAAAAAAAGAAAGGAATATGACTTTAAAGTTGAATAAAAATTAGTGATAAATTTGAGGAACTGTTATATTGGGTTGTAGGAAAAGTCATGACGCATTTTTGCAATGAAAAACAGAAAAAATACATCATAACTTTTCTGACAACCTAGTATTTTAGTAACAGCTCACACGAGCAACTTTATAGCTACAAAATACATTTAGCAAAGAATTTACATTTATATTTTTTAGGGTTTTTTTTTTGTACTAACATTCTTTCATATTTTAACCCCCTATAATTAAATACTGTTCTCTGAACAGAAAGCTATTTAAACAAAAAAGGACACTTGTTCTTATTCTCCATATAGCTTATTAAATTTTGACAAATAATGAAAATTTTCATTCTGTGAATATGAAGTTTTATTTTTTAGAAACTCATACATAATTCCAGACTCATTTTTATAAGTTGCTGTTGGTAGCTGATGACTTTTTTTCTTTTTATTGTAGTCTTTCAATTATATACAAAAAAGAGAGTCGACAATATAATGAACCACAGATGCCTGAGAGTCGGCCTCCAGTTATCCCTATGGCCCATCTTACTTCATCAGCAGTCCCATTTCCTGTTCCCATTCCCACCCCATGTTGTTTTGATGAAAAATTTAGACACATCATCATACCCACAAATATTTCAGAGGTATGATGAACTTGTTTTAAAATTTAGGTTCTTCTCCCATTTTGTCCTTTTTCACCAGATTTATTCCTACTTTACACTCACAGTTACATCAACCCAATCAATGACAGCCTTATTAACTACCGAGATCTATTTGTGCTGATATCCTTAAAAATGAGGGAGAACAAAAAATGCTTATTTCAAGTATATTATCATGCATGCCATTCATAAAATGTGACTATAAAACCACATTTACAACCAAGACTCTTCTAAAGGACACTAAATTAGGAAAAGTGTCAAATAAAAAGAAGAATGCTGAGGGTTATAACAGTATCAGTTACAAAGTAAAATACTTAAATAGCTGTTGCACAGAAATCTACAGGTAACTTTACAAGTCAGTACAGTTATATATGCTGCACACTATGCTTATGGTTAGGCGTTTGTCAAAACCAAAATGTGTCTGAGAATTTTTTCATTATTTCTCTTTATGATTCTCCAACCAGGTAAGATAGGTTAAACAAAACTGTCCTAAACAAACTGTAATTCTAATGCTTGGAAAATAGGAGGGAAAAAATAGTTTTACTTTGCTACTATTGTTGCTTTTAGCAAGGAGTTTAAGTATTCAATAATTATAGTATAGTTGACTATATACTATACAATACACATTATACATATACATTTGCACATATATGTATCATACATGTGTATATATGGGGAGGGGTGTGTACAGTCAACAAGAAAAGTAGACTTCATTGAAATAATTGTGTAATGTATATGAATACTTGTGACAATAACTTGATTCTGGTGGTAGAAAGAAAGAAGTCCCTTTCAGTCCCAGAGCACACTCAAAATGTATCTCTTTTTGACTAGACTGGAAGGAAGTCTAAATTTAACATTCTGGTAGAATAATTTCATATTTCTAATAGGGCCTTTGTGATAATGCTTTATTTTTAATCATCCTTATTTTACTTTTTAATTTTCCTTATATAATAGCTTAATGTGGATTTGTATAGGTTGACTCAAATTCTTTAAGTTGTATACATTAATCAGCAAGTATATTTGAAAAAAAATAGTCGATAACACTTTCTAAATTAAAAAGGTTCAAAATTTTTTATATCTGAGGGCCTAATTTCTTTCTAAATGAGATAAAAATAAGAGCACTGAGTCAGAATTTATGAATCCTATAAGTCCATAAAGTATGGTCAATGGGCCTCCTTGATGGCAGCTCCTGTTGGAGAAGATTGCTAGTAAGCCCTTTCCAGGGGTCCTGGGAAAGAGACCTCCATGCCACTGACACTCCCAGAGAATAATACTTACCACAGAATTACATAGATCACTCTGCATCACTACACCCATTCATTCCTCCCCAAGGCAGGAAGAATGGCTTGTATAATTTATGAGTTGGTAAGAAGTAGCTGGCCCTTCTCTTTTCCATTAGGATATGTCTACTTACAAGTACACACACTGAACTCTGCTTACCGAGGTTATTTACAGGGTAAGCCCATACACAGTAGAGTATTTGGCCACTATTGCCTGTAACTGGGTGGGTAAGTCTGTCTCATTAAGACCTAAGCCATATTTTCCTACCTACTTTGGTTGGTAATAAAGCTGACATTTCAGTTCCTAGCTATCTGACCCCAAGAGCATCTCTCCACTGGTAAGAACTTGAACAGAGAAATATGGGTGTAATTTACTGACCCTCCCAAAATTCCAACACTACTCTTTATTAAGCAATTATTACATGCCAAGCACTTTATAAATACTACTTCATATAAGTCTTTAAACCATCCCAAAGGGCCACAAAAATCACATAGCTTACACGAGGGTAAAATGAAAAAATTTAATTGAATTTCTATAAAGCTGGGTTACTATGAAATAAATTCATTTAGAAAGCAAATTAAAGCAATACGTCTACTATGGTAAAGTTCATTTATTAAGAACTTTACTTAATGCTTTCTTCTTCCTTCTCAAGGTCTTAGTAGCCTTCGGTAAGTTGATCACTCCCACCTTTTTGAAACACTTTTCTTTCTTGGTTTTCAACACACTGTGCTCACTGTGTCTTTCCATCTCTCTGGCTCACCCTTTGCTAATACATCATTGTCTGATGTATCTCTGAATTTGGTGGACCACAGGTCCAATCGAACACCTCTTCTCTATATCTGCACCGTCCCTTAAGTGTTCTCATCCATTCTCATAGCTATTTAAAAAGCCATCTTTATGTTGAGGATTCTCAATTTATACCTCCCTCATGCAGTAGGTATACACCCACTAGACTGACACTTATCTGCTAACAGAAAACTCTAACATGGCCAAAATAAAATATCTGATCTTCCTATACCTATTTCCAAACTATTCCACCTCCAGTCTTCCAAACATCAATAAATGGTACCAGCTGCTCAAGGCAAACTTTAGATCCCTCTTTTTCCTCCACCAACATCTATATAGTCCTCTATTTTTCTACCTTCAAACAACTAACTCTATCCATATCAACACTGACTCTCTTCAAGTATAAGAAAACTCTTATATATAATCTATCCTCTACAGCGTAGTCAATGAGCTTTAACTACCCTAAACCTTATTTCTGGAATGACCAAGCTCTTTTCAGCCTAACTAAAGGCTTTTGTGTTTGCTGTCCCTCTGTATGAAAAATGGTGCCACCAAATTAATAAATTATAATTAATAAACTCACAACTAAATTAATAAATTCATACACTTGCCCTTTCTTTTCATGTTTCCATGAAGACAGCTAACTCTCTGGTGCAAGGTAGGGCTTTATTAAAAAAAACAACAAAAAAAAACAAGTTGAATAAATCCACTGAATATATTACTATGTATCTATTTACTTCTTCATAATTAAATAGTCCATTAAATCCTAACAGGAGTTGAAGTCACAGTTCAATTGGAAAGGACCAATAGTTACTTACGGAGTCCCACAGAATCTGGTTTGCCATTATCATTCTTACTTGGCTGCACAAGTGGAGCAAATGAAACAGCAAGAATATTTTTACTTTCCCAAGTGTTTTGTCCAGTTCGCATAATTTGTGTTAACTATTTAGAGGGGAAAAAAAGAAACAGAGTAGCTTAATTCTAGAAATGTGATTACCTTACAGTCACAATTTTGTTTAACAAAATAATTGCCAATGATTGCTATATAATCACTTGTATTTGAATGTAACCAGATTACTTTCATTTAAATATTTACTATAAAATACAGAAGGAATAACAAATATTTGCTGTTCAAGATAGATATTTCAATGTAAATGGAATATTCAAATATGGCCAAGTGACTTTGCCTAGTATATTTGGGGTATGATAGCTTCTAGGGGTATAATTCCAATCCATACCTGCCATTGGCTCCCAAAATATGTTTCACATAGGTTCAGCTGTTTGGTTAAAGCACTATATTAATAAAATCATGTTTTAATTACTGTACTAATGAGTCAACTTCATGATCTTCGATGATGGTAATAAAATACAGATTCTAATCTCAACTTGATATGTCACAAATAAATGTAATTAGTTACGAACAGATTAGAAGTTATACCTACTCAGCAAACACCCATCACCAGTCCTTGGAAAAAGATTAGCTCAGTACATGGCTTGATCAAGTTAGTATCTTCAATTTATATTATAAAAATCATTATTATACTTTACATTATTATAATGTCATATAATAAATGTTTAATAAAACATCAAAGGGAAGCCATATTTTAAATGTTTTCCCATTGATGTTTTTAAAAGACAATAGGGGCCGGCCGAGCGGCTCAGTTGGTTAAGAGCTCGCTCAAGAGTTTGAGCTCTGAGCAACAGCGGTTCGAGTCCCGGCCCGAGCTGAGCAGCCGCTGAGCTGCCAACAGGAGGCAGGATGGCTCAGCTTAAAAAAAAAAGGTAAAAAAAAGAAAACAGAAAAAGATTGTTCATCTGGGAGTCTCAACTCTGGAAGCATTCAAGTAACAATATTTTTCTTGGAATGTTTTTTAATGAATGTCTTTATATAATATCTTTTTAATAACTGACAAACAATTTGTTACAGAGAACAGTGCATGATAATGATGAAATCACTGAGATGAAAATAATCTGTTGTGATGTTAAGGGACCCCCAAGATATACGAGTGTAAACTCTAAAACATCATGTCCGGTCATAGTCGTCTTAGACAATCTATCTTCTACCACACAAACCACAAGGTGTTTTTAAACATCTCAGATTTGGGTTAATATGAATATTAAAGGTATTTTTTGAAATGCATTTTCATAAACTTTTAAAGTAATTTGCTCTTAAAAGACCAACCCATATTCTGAGTAAATTAGTATTTCATATATTTATTATACCTAATAATTTCAAACTGCTGACAGGCAAATAGCTGAAAAATATTTTCAAATGAATCTATGCTGTACTAAATGAAGATTTAAAAATTTGCTCGTTTCTTTAATGGAGTTAAACAATCCAAACCAACCCAAACCAAATAAGATTTCTTTTTTTTATATGTTCAAAGAATTAAAATATGTTAGAAATGGAGCCCCTAGTAGAGAGTATCACATTCAAATGAACACCTACAGGTGAGAACAGGAGGGAGCAGTTTGGCAAATGTAGTAGTCACCCCTTATTCACAGGGGATAGGTCCAAGACCCCCAATGGTTGCTTGAAACTGTGGATAGTATCAAACCCTATATATGCTATTTTTTTCTCATACATACATACCTATGATAAAATTTAACTCATAAATTAGTCACAGTAACAGATTAACAACAATAGCTTATAATAAAGCAGAACAATTATGACAACACCCTGTAATAAAAGTTATGTGAATGTGGTCTCTCTCTCTCTCTCAAAATACCTTATTGTACTGTACTCACCCTTCTTCTTATGATGATGTGAGATGATTCATTGCCTTATTAAGTTGAGAACTTTCACCTTTTCACTTAAGGGAAGCACTTTATAGCTTCTCTTTGGCATATCCGAATTGCTAGCACCACTACTCTTACATTCTGAGGTCATTGTTAAGTAAAGTTAGTTGAACACAAGCACTGCATTACTGTGACAGTCAATCTGACAACTGAGTAGGTTACTAAGTGACTAAAGGGCAGGTAGTGTATATAGTGTGGAGATGATGGACAAAGGGATGATGTATGTCCCATGCAGGATGGAGTAGGAAGGCTCAAGACTTCATCACACTACTCAGAACATCACCCAACTTAAAACTTAAGAATTATTTCTGAAAATTTCCATTTAATATTTTTAGACCATGGCTGACCACAGGTATTAATAACAAATAACAAACCAGAGAGAGTGAAACCAAGGATAAGGGGGAACAACTGTACCACACAGGTAGGAGCTAAGCTCAGGTGAAAGACCAAGTCTCTGCTAATCCTAGTAGAAGGATCTTTTCTATACCTGCTTTAATTAAATAATGAAGAGTCCATTTCAAATTTTTTCTGTGTAGTTAGATCTATGAAGAGTATTTTTTCTTTAAAAATTACAATGTACCTTTACTGATGTTACACTTCCCATCTTAAACTAATGTTTTCGTTTCCATGCCATTAAGCAAAAGGGCAGTGGAGGTTACCTGATCTTCTATAGGCATGACTAGAATGCCTCCCACTTTTAGTAATATTTTCATGTAGTTTTCATGGTCTTTCTGGACTCCAGCTCCACAATAAATTCGGTCATACTGATGACTATCTGATGCTATCTGGAGGCAGTTACCAACCACAAATGCAGGTTCACAGAACTCGAATCTGCATGGAAAAACAAATATATTTTAATTCATTTAAACAAAACAACTAGACCTAAAAATTTTAACATAATCCAGTTCTTTGAAATAGTGACGTTACCAAAATTAATTCTAAGGATAAAATATGAAATTTGATTTAAATGTCACATTTATGAATTTCTATACTGATCAAATATATTATTAATGCTATATAGCATGTATTGGGTTGTCGGGAAAGTCATGGCGTATTTTTCTATGTTTTTCAATGCAAAAATGTGTCATGACTTTCCCGATGACCCAATATTTTCAAAACATAACCTATTTTTTGCCACACCAAAACCTCACTTAAGGCTTAAAAAAATGAATAAAATGAAAAGCCCATCACATCACCAATCTTGTGGCACCCCACAAATAATATAGAAGGATGAGAATCACAAGGATTAAAGAGAGATAGAGAGAGAGAAGAGAGAAGAAAAAAGAGGAGAGAGGAGAGAGGAGAGAAGAGAGAGAGAGAGAAAAACCTTCATTTTCCACTGCTCTTTCGGAAAAAGAAGCTGAGGGCCTAGGGGAAATGAGAAAGGCTCATGTGGTTTTCATCTCTGCTTGACATTTTTGCTGCAGTTAACAGTGGCAAAGCTTTGTTAGAAAGACACCAGTGTGACCATCTACCCTTGCAATTACTACGATAAAGGGAGATTTTCCTAATAAATTTTAGCAGAGCTACAGGATTGGGACAGAGCAGAATAAACAGTGATTTTTCTTACTGCTGCTTTGGCCCCTGTGATCTCCCTGTGCAACAAAAGAAAAGATATGGTTTCAAAGCAACATCCTGACCACTTGGTTCCTGGTTACAGTGTTGGTTCATGGTATATAGAGTTGTGCTTTTACAAACTTTCCTATTTAGACTTCTACTTTAGTCCTTAAATTCTGACAAATCTGAAAATCCCTAACATATAACATATAATTAAAACTTCAATGCACTAATAAAACATGTAATCATTTTTAAATTCCAAATTATTGGAATATCCTTTCACTTTTAAGTTGATTAAAGTTAATATGACCACACAGCATAATCAGGCTATCATTTGAGGATGAAATAATTTACGTTAAAAATTTCAGCATGCAGTGAAAAATGACACTGACTGAATCACAATCATTTTTGCTTTGTAAAACATATCGTGTCCTTTAGTAATTAACAGAGTTTGTTACACAATAAATTTCCATTAAAATTCATTAAAACACAGACACATTATGATCCTTGATACTTAAAAAGAGTTTACCAAAACTATGCCGTCCTCAATTTCCTGTCTTGTTGGTGGTTATGGGGAGTGGGTTGGGAAGGGTAGAGGCGGTTGAGACGGGGGTGAGTAAACAGTGTGTTTACCCTGTAATCTCTTCTTCATATCCCCACACTAAGGTAAATCTATGCCTCATTATTTTTTAGGTAACTGTCTTCTCACTATTCACACTTTCAGGTCTCCCTTCCATCACTTTGCTCCCTACCGAGCAGGACAGGTTCAAGCTCCTTAAAATGTCATGGGGGGCTCTTTATGATTCTACTATTAAATTGTCCTTCCACACTCATTTCCTGGCTCTGCCCCTGCCCACACATACTACGTTATAGCCAGACTGAATTATCTGCTTCTAACTGCTTAGAGAAACTATTACAAAACCCTGTTTCTGTGTATGCGCTCTTCTTTTGACTGAAATACCCTTACCCCTCTTCTTCCCTTGAAGATACAGTAAAAATATTAGCTTTGCAATGAAATCTTACCCAACTCTTTAATATATCGCATTCTTTCCATTTGCATAGTACAAACAAAAGTGTAAATTTACCTATATTAAAGACATGTTTAATTTCGCTTTTATACTCAAGACTAAGGTACAATTGATGATTGTCTAAAATATGGCCATAACATAATTTCTTGGATTTTAAGTAATTAGATACTGTGGATCAGATGGTTTAATCACTTTATCAAAATAACAGTAAGCATTCTTTAAAAAGAAAGTTAGACTACTATTTTCAATGAAAATATCTAAAGACCTAATTCTTATAAAAATTCATTTTAAATAATTTAGTTTTATATAATTTAAGTCAGTCATAATTTTCATGATGAATGTAAACAGGGAATTTAAATACAAATTTAAGTTATTAAACCTCTTTTACCATCAAGTCTGTTAAATCAACTCAAAATTATTCTTATAGTTTAAAAGCTTCCTACTATTTAAAAACACATGATAGCTTACCTAGGAAAATACCATTACAAGTGAACTTACAAGGAAAACTTCTTCTCATATTACGTAGTGATATTTTATATTCTCATCCCAGCAAAATGAATTAGAAAGAATTTAGTACCTGACTCTAAAACTAAATGTGTGACTCTGGTCAAGTTACCTTATACTAGTAATTAGCAAAATTCACTAAGTCAAATACTATTTATTGAGCATCAGTTGTGTGTAAGGACTGGAAATACAATGGGAAACACTCAAGCCTACATTTGTGGCAGAGACAGGTGTCAAACAATCTAATTAAAAGTTAAGTTACAACTATGAGAAATGTTCTAAAGAAAAGGAATACAATTCTACAAGACTGAGAAAGAAAGGAAACTAACAGGCCTGAGGAATCAGAATGGTTCCCTGAGAAATGAGGAGCTATGACCTTAAAAATGAGAAAGAATAATCTAGAGTCACACTATCCAAGATGGTAGCTTCTAGCCACATGTGGATACTGAGCCCTTAAAATGTGGCTAGTCCATATTGAGATGTACTGTAAGAATAAAAATCACCTACGATTTCAAAGATTCAGTAAAAAAGTAAAATATTTCTATATTTATGTACATATGTGTGTATATGCGATATACATATCTATTTTTCAACAGACACATAAATTCAAACAACTACCCATCTACTTATCACCTATAAATAGGAGTTTCAAAGACTTTCTCCTTAACACATACATCCCTTTGAAACATTCTCTTGGTTTTCCTGGTATCTTTAAATACAGTAAAACCTTGGGTTGCAAGTAACATGGTTTGCGAGTGTTCCGCAAGACCAGCAAACATTTCTAATACATTTTAACTTGGTAAATGAGCAATGTCTTGCAATATGAGTAGTTTGTTTCCAGAACGAATTATGCTCGCAAACCAAGGTATTACTGTATTTCTTCTGAATTTTAATTGTATCTCCATCACCTATTCCAGTCCTCAAAAAACATTTACTAAATAAGCGAACCATGTAAGAAACATAAATGCTTTGTCAACCTTTCCACCTACAAATTTTGAATACGAACCCAAAGTTGACAAATATGCTAATCACAAAATCTCAGGACTAGAAGAGAAACTTGCCCAGAAATAGTTACAGAAAAAAATATGTGCCCATGGGCACTCTCTGTATCAACCTGATGGCTCTTGTTTTACTAAATTGGTTACTATAAATAACTATAGCTTCATGTTACAGATTGCATGTTTTTTCCCCCCCAAAAAATGCCAAAAAAAAAAGCAAAAATCAAATAGTAAAACAAAACAAACCCTTGGCTTAAATGAATAAATTAACTGTCCTATATCTAAAAAGGCATTTTTTTGGAGACTTTCTGAAATTTAAATGAGTTAACCTTATTCTAGAAAACAACTTAATGTTTTTTCTTGTAACACAGATCAGAACAGGTATGTTTGCTTCCACTTAGGGAGTACTACAAAAGATCATTATAGAGAAAAACTAGATGTCTAAATTTATAAATAATTTCTGTAGTGCAAATGGAACATACACTTCTAAAATATGCATATGAAGTCTTTACACTTTCATTTAAAATATTTATATTAATTTCCTTTACCAGAATACTCAAATTTGAAAGTTCAATTGAACTTGAGACAATATTCCAAAAGGACTGAATACTTCTAGATACAAAATAGTAAAACTTAAAGAACATAAGTAAAATTGGGGAGAAAAGTGTAGTATCTTTAAATGTTGGCACTAAAGTATGTACAACGTAGTAGAGAATCCACATGGTAACACATTACAGAAAAGTTGTAATACTACCAATAACACTAGTCATTAAAAGGACACCAGACAGTGTCCTATCTGGGGGCTATTGATTGTACTTACAACTATACTTGACCGTTTCTACCAATGACACATGAATCCGTCACATTAGTAAAGAAAACAAAACGACTCTTAAATTGCATATACTTACATTATTTTTCTCCATATACCAGTGGGCCATGGGTCACCTTTCCTATTACAGGACTTATAGATGAGCTTTATATTTCTGACGATAAGTATAAAGTTTATATTTATCGTCCTCAACTAGGTACATAGTTGAGGGTACTACTCAGATGTTTTGTATTCTGATACTAAAATTATGGTTTATTTTTATAGTAACAGTTCATATAAATAAATTCATACCAATTGAACTAACATTTTTTTAAAAAGTCTGATTAAAATTTTCAGGCAAATGTTTACGCATATGCTCATATCCTGTTCATATCACATATATTAAGAATGATTGCTTTGAGACGTAGATGATGGCTACTATGTTATTAGAGTAAATTAGAACTGTTAATTCTTCCCAAGTAGAGAAGAAAATAAACACTTTCTTCCTTAGGCTTTCACTATCTTCTAAAAGCTGCTTCTTACCTAAGTTTCCACAAACCTCTATAGGCAAAGGACATATTTTACAACACAAGTACAATTTCTGTATAATCTGGAAGACTGGAGCAATAAACCAGAAGTTTTCAGTTCATTACAAAATAGTACTAAACTATTTATAGCTTTACACATAAAATCTAAGTTAAAAATAGCGAAAGAGAAAATCCAAATTCCATCTTTTCACATCAACCATACACTAAAATGAAACCTAAAGAAAAAGAAAACAAAAAAACCAAAAAATTGGAAAGAAGTCTACCAAAAGTATGGTTCATTCGTTCTTTCTCTAGTTCTTACACTTGATTTAGGGGAGTCCATTTAAATTTTAAGTCTGTTATTAAAATTAAAAATAGCAATCATTTTTATTCTTTGAAGAAAATTTCC